CCCCCAAGAAAAAACTGACCCCCAACTCCTCTAGATCTTCTCCATCTTCGGTGCCTCGAACCCGGCGCTTAACGCAGTGCCCCTCATTGTCATTCTCGTCGTAACCGCCATTAAGGATGCTGTCGAGGATTGGCGGAGAACCGTCCTCGACATGGAGCTAAACAACGCCCCAGTCCACCGACTCGTCGACTTCAACAATGTTAACACGGCCGAAGACTCGATTTCCCTATGGCGTAGGATCAAGAAGGCGACAACAAAGAGCATCGTCACAACATGGCGGCTAGTCAAGGGCGTCAAAGCTGGAAAGGGAAAGCAGGGCAGCGATAGGGCCGCCAACGTCACCCGGCCTTCAATCGAGACTCGGCGAGCCTCGGTCATGTCGCATACCGGGTCGTACCTAGGAAACGAAGGTGACATTCAGATGACACCAGTCCCCTCACCTCTGCCGGGACAGTCTCCTACTCAGTCCCCATCCTGGCCTCTAGGACCCGGAGAGAACGACAAGATTCGCGGCGCTGACTCGAAACCCGAAATCACCCAGAAGTTTTGGGGAAGCGTCTTGAACCCTTACAAGTCTGTCCCCGAGAAAGCCCGCTTCAAGAAGGACGCGTGGAAGAACGTCCAGGTTGGCGATTTTGTGCGTCTATACAACAACGAAGAAATCCCCGCCGACGTCATTGTCCTTTCCACATCTTCCGATGATGGCGCCTGTTATGTAGAAACTAAGAATCTGGACGGCGAAACGAACCTCAAGGTCCGCAGCGCACTGCATTGTACTCGCGATGTACGACACGCTCGACACTGCGAACGCGCCGAATTCGTCATTGAGAGCGAAGGCCCCCACTCGAACCTCTATTCCTACAGCGCAGCCATCCGGTGGCAGCAACACAACACAAAGGATCCCGAGGCGCAGCCCTATGAAATGGTCGAGCCTATTTCCATCAACAATCTGGTCCTGCGTGGATGTCAATTGCGAAACACCGAGTGGATTCTGGGAGTAGTCATCTTCACCGGTGACGAGAGCAAGATCATGATCAACTCTGGAATCACACCTAGCAAGCGAGCCCGCATCTCCAAAGAGCTTAATTGGAACGTCGTGTACAACTTCTTCATCTTGGCCGCCATGTGTCTGGTGTCTGGAATTGTGCTAGGAGTTTCGTGGGCTCGGAATGACACTTCGCACTCAGTCTTCGAGTTTGGCTCATACGGAGGCGCCCCTGCCACTGACGGTGTCATTGCCTTCTGGGCTGGTGTCATTCTCTTCCAAAACTTGGTCCCCATTTCGCTCTACATTACGTTGGAAATCATCCGAACACTCCAGGCCCTCTTCATCTACAGCGACATCAACATGTACTACGAAAAACTCGACTACCCGTGCACCCCCAAGTCCTGGAACATCTCCGATGATGTCGGTCAAATCGAATACATCTTCTCGGACAAGACCGGAACTCTTACTCAGAACGTCATGGAGTTCAAGAAGGCGACCATCAACGGTGTTCCCTATGGAGAAGCGTACACCGAAGCACAAGCCGGAATCCAGCGAAGACAAGGCATCGACGTCGAGGTTGAAGGTGCAAAGGCTCGTGAGCAGATTGCAAGGGATCGTGTGCGTATGCTCGAAGGTATCCGGAAGATGCACGACAATCCTTATTTGTGGGACGACGACCTGACTTTCGTTGCACCCGACTTCATCGATGATCTACGCGGAGACGCCGGAATGGAACAGAAGAGGGCCAATGAGGAATTTATGCTTGCCTTGGCTCTTTGCCACACCGTTGTTACCGAACGCACCCCCGGCGACCCACCCAAGATCGAGTTCAAGGCCCAATCACCCGACGAAGCTGCACTTGTTGCCACTGCTCGCGATGTTGGATTTACATTTGTCGGCCGCGAAGACGACAATCTGATTTTGAACGTCTTGGGACAGGAGCGCAGGTACCAGGTTCTCAACACTCTCGAATTCAACTCCAGCAGGAAGCGCATGAGCGCCATCATCAGGATGCCCGATGGCAAGATTATCCTCTTCTGCAAGGGTGCTGACAGCATGATTTACTCAAGATTGATCCCCAATGAGCAACGACAGCTTCGCGCCGATACTGGAGAGCACCTGGAAATGTTTGCACGAGAGGGACTGCGAACACTTTGTATTGCCCAGAGAGAAATCTCTGAAGAGGAGTACCAAGAGTGGAGCAAGGACTACGATGTTGCTGCCAACGCCATCCAGGGTCGTGAGGACAAGTTGGAAGAAGTGTCTGATCGCATCGAAAATCACCTTTGGCTACTAGGAGGAACTGCTATTGAGGACCGACTCCAGGACGGTGTACCAGAGTCCATCTCGCTTCTCGGTCAGGCGGGTATCAAGCTCTGGGTCCTGACTGGTGACAAGGTAGAGACAGCCATCAACATTGGTTTCTCATGCAACCTGCTCGACAACGACATGGATCTCATTATTCTCAAGGTCACAGATGATACCATTGCATCCGTGGAAGCTCAGCTCGACGAAAAGCTCAAAATCTTTGGTCTCGAGGGTTCCGAGGAGGAGCTGGCTGCCGCGCAAAACGACCACGAACCGCCTCCACCCACACATGCCATCATCATCGATGGAGACACACTTAAGCTGGCTTTGGACGAGTCCGTCAAGAGAAAGTTCCTCTTGCTCTGCAGGAGATGTCGATCTGTCCTGTGCTGCAGAGTCAGTCCCAGTCAAAAGGCGGCTGTTGTCAACATGGTCAAGACTGGACTCGACTGTCTTACTCTTGCCATTGGAGACGGTGCCAACGACGTTGCCATGATTCAAGAGGCACACGTTGGTGTCGGTATCGCCGGTGTTGAGGGTCGCGCGGCCGTCATGTCTTCGGATTACGCGATTGGTCAATTCCGCTTCTTGACTCGCCTTGTGCTTGTTCATGGCAGATGGTCGTACCGCAGACTTGCGGAGACCATTGCCAACTTTTTCTACAAAGTGAGCTGTTTCCTCATCATGGCCAATTTGCGCTCATGCTAACATTTAATAGAACATTGTTTGGACTTTTGCCCTCTTCTGGTACCAGATTTACACCAACTTTGACAGCCAGTATATTTTCGACTACACATACATCATCTTCTTCAACTTGGCGTTTACGTCACTCCCTGTTATTGTCATGGGTGTTTTGGACCAGGATGTCGACGATAGGGTGTCTCTGGCTGTTCCACAACTATATCGCCGCGGTATTGAGCGCAAGGAGTGGACACAACCAAAGTTTTGGTAAGTATGATGCTCCAGAATTACTTGAAAAAAACTTCTAACATACTCGTAGGGCATACATGGTTGATGGTATCTATCAATCCGCCATTGCTTTCTTCTTCCTCTACGAGATATTCGAGCCCGCCACTTTTGCGACGTCAAACGGCTTGGACATTGCCGAGTACCGGCGCATGGGTATCTATGCCGCTACTACTGCCGTTTGTGCCGCCAACATTTACGTCTTGTACAACACTTACCGATGGGATTGGTTAATGGTCCTCATCGTTGTTATCAGTACCCTCTTTGTCTGGCTTTGGACTGGCGCCTACACCTCCTTTACTTCCAGTCAACAGTTCTACAAGGCCGGATCCGAAGTCTACGGAAACCTCAATTTCTGGGCATACGTTCTGTGTGCCACCATGGCTTGTTTGCTTCCCCGCTTCATCTTCAAAGCCACGCAGAAGATGTACTTTCCGTTGGATGCCGACATTATTCGAGAACAAGTCAAGCAAGGCAAATTCGACTATCTTAAAGAATCCACTTCATTCATTCCTCCACCACCAGAGAAGGCCGCTTCTTCACCAGAATCGAGCATCCCAGAGCCCGATCCCTCCAAGTACACGGCTGCGAATGCTACTCCTACTGATGAAGATGTACGACCAATATACCCACCTTCGGTTGCACCCACGGCCACGACGCACAACCCAAGAAGCCAAAACGGTAGCAACAGCACAGACTACACCTTCCGTCGCTCCCTGGAAGGCCTCCCACCAGCCCCCACTTCAGACGGCCCTCCACTCAACACCCGCATGTCGACTGAATGCCGTGTGCGACCGAGCTACGACCGTGCGCGCATGTCGATGGACCGTGTGCGCCCTAGTTTCGAGCAGAGTAACGATTTCACGTCTGCAGCCATGCTGACGCGACTCGAGTCGTCGCACAGCCGAAATAGCATCCAGGGCAACCGGGCCAGCTACCAGGCCGCAAATGGCGTCAACGGACAGCCGGCCGTCATGAGCCGGTTACGCAACGCCATACGAAGAGCAACGATTACGCGCGAAGAGCTGCCCGAGCATCTCCGACAATATCAGCAGCAACAACAACAACAACCAAACGGCGAGGATGTACCAGATGTACCGGCGGTACCCAAATCGCCAGTGCCCAAGTCGCAGTCGCCTCCTGCGAGCCCGCCCAGGTAATCCCTGTGGCGGTCGGTTGTTTTGAAACGAAACCCGCCCGCGCGGGACGGAGGTTTGGGTTAGGGATTATAAAATGTTAATGTTTTGTGCTTCGGCTTCTTTTGAAAAGGGGCTTTTTTTGGAACAAACAAGAAGAAGGAAGAGAGAAATTAAAGCGATACAAAGGGAAATGAATGAATTGCATAGCGTTGCGGGGGGAGGGAAACCTTGCCAGTCTTTTTTCAAACTTCTATTTTTTTTGAGCTTTTTGTTTCGTTTCCCCCTCCCCCTCGTCCTCCCACTCCTGTTTTTGATTTATTTATTTTTCATTTGCTCTGCCCGTTTGTCGTTTTATCTTTTTTGTCCCTCCTTTTTTACACCCACTTCTGCTTCTCTTGTTCTCTGTTTTGCGCAACTCGTATACCTTTTTCTTTATTTGCCATTCGTTGCGCTTTTTTTCTTATTGATGAGGGACTTCTGTCCTTACGACTCTGGGTTATTTTCCTTTTGTGTAAATACATCCATTTCTTTTATCTTTTTCTGCTTCTGTTGCTTGGATGGACTTTTGGATTTATCCTGGATCCACGAGGTCGCGACCTTCTTTGTAAAGAGGGATGGGTTGATATGGGAATGCCGTACGTGGCGATGAAAGAGGGCGGGGCACGGCGAGAATGCGATATGAAGGGGTGAATTAGTCGTATATATATACATATACACACATATTGGATTTTAGTAGCTATGGAAATACCAGAGTCTGTCATTTGAATGGTTTTGTTGAAGATTGAGGTGATGATGTGTCTTGTTGTATGGTTATTGTTGGTGTGTGTGTGTGAGAATGAGGTGACTACTTTGTATACTGCGTCAATCTATACGCATGACAAAGTGAGCGAAATGGTTTCTGCCACCACTTTGTCATATAGTATCATCTCCATCCACTTCCCACCTACACATGTCAACTTTTCACTTCAATTTCCAGAGTTGGATAACATATCCTCCAACTCTCACCAAACAAGCTATCTATCCACTTCCAACCTTACTCCACCTCCAACCTAAACGCATCATACTGCACATACACTGCCTCGGGCAATACCGCACTCTCACTATCCGTCGCATTATACGGCAGACTCAGCACAATCTCATTCTCCCCTTCCTCCTTGAGCAAATCCCCCGAAAACTCAAATTTGTGCGCCAAATGATAGCACGACACGGCTGAACGCACCGCGCAGGATGAAGACTGGTAGTATCTGGTATCTCACAGATTAGCTTGACTTTGCTCGTATAACAATCACCCCCCACGCCATCCTCATCGTCAATCTCAGAGTGAGAGAATATTAAAAAAAAAGGGGGGGGGAGGAGGAGGAGGAGGTAACATACGGAATAACCCACACGCCCACGCCCACGCCATTAACCCGCACACTCAACGGCAAATCCGCCCACTCCTCCTCGCCCGAATTCACATCGGTATTCCCCGCCGCCGTCTTCGCGGCCGCAAGCTGCACGGTAAACGTCGCCTTCTTGCCCCTTGCCCCTCCCTGCCCCTCCTCCTTTGGCAACTCAAACACTATACTCCAGTCATAAACATGATCAGGCACCGGCACAGGCCTCAGACTATTCCCTTTACCCCCAAAAACAGCCCAATGGACATAATTCAGGGCCGTGCTCTCGTCATCTTGTCCTCCCACCTTGAAGCGCACGCCCGAGGGGAAATCGGTGATGAAATCGTAGGCGGCCCAGTAGAGTCGGTATTCTTCGGTTAGCAAAGGGTGGGTGGGGGAAGGGGAGGTGCCGTGGCGAAATTCGCCAGAGGATTTATCGGGGGTGCCTATGCGGAAGAGTTCTTTACCGGCGGATTCGGGGGTCCAGGTCATGTTGAGTGTGGTTGTGTGCGAGGCGGAGATGGAGATGGAGTCGTGGGTGGTGTCGCCGAAGATGGAGGTTGCGGAGAGGGTGAGGCGGTAGGATCCGGGTTTTACGCGGGGGATGGAGATGGTGCCGGAAGAGGGGATGGGCGTCCAGTATTGGTATGCGGTGCTGTTTGCGGCGTTGTCTTGGTAGTTGTGGCCGGTGGTGGTGAGGATGGCGATGGGGTTTTGGGCACCGGCGGGGAGAGAGATGGTTGCTTCGAAGGTGCCGCGGTGGGATGATGGAAGGAGATTTGGGACGTGGGCGGCGATGGAGTCGTAGAAGGGTGCGTTCCAATCTGGGCGTTGACCGTATTGCTCTGCGTCTTTACGCAGTTCGTCCAGTGTACCGCCCGTGTTGAAGTGGAAGTATTGTGGGCCGAAAGTGCGGTCGAAGCCGTTTGTTATGTTTGGGGTTTGGGCGCCATGGTGGTTGGAGACCATGTAGTTGTAGACGATGCCGTCCACGACGAGGTCTGAGTGTGTGGGACCGCCGAAGTAGGTTTCGACGGTGTTGTGAACGAGCCAGGCGCCGTACGTGGTCCCGTTTGTGGTGCGGCCATCGGCGTACATGCCGTGGGCGAGGTGGTTGCGCCAGCTGTCTTGGAAGGTGTACTTGGTGAAGTAGTCGCCTACGCCTTTTACGTATGGATCGTCTTTATTGGCAAGCTGCCAGGTAGCATCTTGAACGACTGCTTGACCATTTGTATCTGGACGGGGTGCGGAAAACTTGTCGTTGGTGACAAAGTGGGTGAAGAGTGGAGGGTCGTGGTTGGGTCTGAATAGAGTCCGGAACTCCTGCAGGTTCCGCAGAAATGGCGTAGTCTCGTTGTGGTATACTATTCGGCTGAAAGTATGAAGCCCAGTCTCGCCTTCTTTTAGAAACCAGTATTGCTCCAGCCGTTGGCCGGTAGGCGCATACGTTTCTCCCATGCTGATACCGCCATATGGGGTGCCGGTTGAGTCGGTGCCGTTGAATAATTGATATTGAACATCTTTACCACGACCAGGCGTCCAGAAACCACTCGGAGTACTGTTTGAAGCGAGAATATCAGCTTATCATATCTGTGCTCTTCGAGTATGACTTTCACCAACCAGTAGCAATCAAGATATGGTCCAACACCAGTGTTACCAGATTCTGTTCCAAGAAGGTTTTGGCCGTCGAGCGTCAAAACATTGATATACCCTTTTGATTTGCTCACCGATGCAACCAGCCGGTCGTTAGCAATAGTAAGACTCTGATTGTTTTGACTGGCTTTTAGAAAGGCCCATGTATTAGCACAGAACAGTAGCGTCACTGTGACCGAAATGGCACGCATGGTGAATGCTTAGCGATGCGACAACACGCGGCTTGGCTCGACGGTGTTCTTATTTCCATTTTTTATAACCAAACATCCGGGAAAATTAATATAGAATGACGGGTGGACTAGTCGGAATCTAGGGTAAAGGAGGAGTCCGGGATACGGATAAATACACTAGTCGGGCCTTCGGTGGGATGTAAGCCGAAAATGGCCACCATTTAAGTGCGCCTACCTGTGTACGGGACAAATGGTGAACTAGTTCTTGACTGGGTAATGTGGGGCTGGAGATGTATACTATGTTCCCAGGATGTTATCCAAAAACCTAGACACGCTTTGCGAGAACCCTAGTAGTGCGTGCTTTGCCAGAGGCATTTCTATGTTACAGTGTGCTAACTTTCACGGCAACATCCCCGTATTTCTTGGTAATTTATATTTAGATATTTCGAATGAGATTACAAATTTTACCAGATTGTTACTACTTGCTCAGGTCTAAATCTAAAACTTGAACCTCATGCGAATGGGCTTATGCGTTAATTAGTTATAGAACGAAGGCAATATTGGCGGTACACCTATTATGCACTAACGCATCACGTTTCTCGACCCGGCGACTGTGCTAGGATCATAGCATAATATCTCCTTCTCCTCGTAATACCTTTCTCGTGGGTTCCCTGCTCATCTACTTGCCTATTGTGCATTACCAAAATGCAGTCACACCGTTTGGTTGTCAAAAATCGATATGCAACTGCAGCACATACGGCAATCGTTGTCAAGTCACACCATATACTGTGCGAATTGAGGTGATGTCGAGCTTGCTAGTTTTGGTAGAGGGAGGAAATTCGAGTCATCAATGTCGCTGCGGGACTGATTATCAGAATAGAGTTTGAATGATCTTGTGCGCGGCATAGCGTATTGGAATTGGGGATCAGCGATTGCTAACTTGAGTTTCAGACTATCAAAGACATTGATCCCAACAAACTTAAGACGATGCATCGTCAATTCATTCACCAGTGATATGCAAGTATTCAGTGTTGGAGATATCAGAACCCAAATGTAGTACAAAATGGATCGGTCCAATGAAATCATGGCTTGGTACGTCATCATCCGGCGCTCGATCGCCATATCTCGCACGTGGCAGCATCACACCGTAGCTACATCTTGACTCTGGACACACCAGAAGACCTTCATTCTCTTATTTTTTTTTCATGGAAAGATGAGCTCCTTCCAAGCTGAGAGAGAGCCGTTGCTCTCCCAAGTGCCGGTCAAAGTCATCACATTTGAGCCCAACGATCCAGAAGACCCGCGCAACTGGCCGGCAGCGCGAAAATGGCTTATGGTTGCTGCGATAATACCTATAGATCTCAGTGTCTCTTGGGGTGCCAGTGGATTTAGTCCTGTCGCGGGTGACTTTGCAAAAGATATGGGTGTATCACCCAGCGTCGCATTGCTGGGGCTGAGCATGTACGTGCTTGGACTAGCTTCTGGACCTATGACTCTAGCACCACTCTCAGAGTACTATGGACGCAGGCCTGTGTACATTGTGTCTTATGGCATATTCCTACTCATGCTTCTGGGAACGACATATGTTGAGACTCTAGGACCGTTCCTTGTCTTGAGACTTTTCTCTGGTTATTTTTCTTCAACAACGATATCGAATTTCGGCGGAACTATCGCAGATCTCTTCCATCACAACGACACGGGCCCAGCAATGTCCTGGTTTCTCTGGGCAGCCACAGGTGGCAGTCCAACTGGCTTCGTGCTCTTTTCCTTCATTGCAAAGGGCAGGTCATGGCACGATGTGTTTCGGGTCATGCTGGTCATCTGCTTCGCGTTTTGGATCATCCTGGTTATAACTCTGGGCACTTTGGGAGAGACTCGACACAGTGTGATATTACTGAGAAGAGCGAGAGCGCTACGCAAAGCAACAGGAGACGACAGCCTAGAGGTACCGGATGCGCTGAAGCAGCGAGGACCGAAACAACTGTTCGGCACCGCACTTGCGAGGCCATTCCGATTTCTCGGCACTGAAGCCATCGTTCAGTTTGGTGCTCTATATAACGGCTTTCTATACGGGCTTTCATTCCTGTTCAACGGCGCTTTTCACATGATCTTCGGACCAAGTGGCTACGGGTTTGACACTATTGGCGTTGGTATCTGCTTTCTTGGGATAGTTGTGGGCATAACTATTGGTCTCATGACAAACGTCTTTCAAGAAAGATACTACCAATGGCGTGTTGCTCAAGCCAATGGTCACGATGTCCCAGAAGCACGGGTGCGATATGCAAAGCTAGCCGCTATAGTGCTGCCAATATCCCTCTTAGTTTTCGCGTTCACAGCTACGCCGCATATGCACCCACTCTTTGCAGTACTTGCTAGTGCCTTCTGGGGATGGTCCTTCTATACTCTTAGTAAGTTTTTGTCTTGAGTTTGAAGAAGATCTGTGCTCACAGTTTACCTTTAGTACTCATGACCCTTACATATACCGAGGATGCCTATAAGACGTATTCAGCGTCAGCACTTGCTGGCATCGGCCTCATCCGAAACCTGGCTGGGGCTGGTTTTCCGCTTATCGGAAGACATCTTTTCCTGAATATCGGCACTAGAAACGCAAGCTTAGTACTGATGGCTATCGCTATCTGCTTAGCGCCTATACCATTTGTACTCGAGGCGCGAGGAGCATCACTACGCAAGAGAAGTCCTTGGGCAGCCGCGCATGAGGATGAAAATGAAGACGATTGAGACTCAACACCAGACTTCCCGAGCGTTCTAATTCTTGGCTGACTTCAGTTTCGTGCTTCATCTCCCAGAACACAACCGTCGCAGAATGGCAAGGACTGTGAACGTTGCAAAAAAGATGTCCTGATTTAGCTAGTGGTATCTCAGTCTCAATTCATAATTATACGCATGTATCTTGAAGCAAAAGTACCCACTTCACGAATGGAGCATGGTGCCATATATTTAGGCCCGCAACGTGGGCTCCGTTACTCCCGATATTGCCGCGACAACGGGGCCCCAAGATATCATTCCTGTCCAACAGCCTCGCGAGATCTCTGTTTGGTACCTGAAAGCCGCCTGTCATTACTCGGGTCAAGCGCAAGGATCTTTGTTTTGGTGGAGTGTATGGCACGTGACGTGTCTCTACCGCGCGATATTGATACATCATTGGACTAGACAAAGCATGAAGACAACAAGTACTCGCATAATGATGTTTCAAACACGACAGAACACGTTGTTTCGGACGGGGCCGAGCATTTAGCGCGTAGTCCCGTCGAGCGTTACTGGCCAACCAACGACGTCCCACAGCCGAGCGGCGGGCGCGTAACGCTAGGTCTCGCGCTGGCCCATCTACCCGCCTGTCCACCCGCCAATCCTACCAGGATATTCTTAGAATCCGTTTTGTACATATGAATGAGGCTCTGCGCTCGACAATGGCATCATCCAACAGCCTCAAGATTCTCTCTTTCCTTCTATCATTTCATTAGGTTCTTTTCTTATCGTTCTGAGTGTGTTCTGCGAACAACTCATCATTTCTTTCAAAAACTCGCATTCCTTCTTTCCGTCAAATCACAGCATTGCGTCGGCGCCAGATTCCCATCTCATCTGAACGATCTCTATATTTTCTCTTTGAAAAGTTCGCTCGATCACACGCAAGCCGTGTTCAATCGAACCACCGGATACCAAACCCCAATCCGATACACTGCAATTCTCGAACGACTTCGATCGTCCACTCCACATCCTATTCATCACACAAAAAAAACACAAAGTCACAAAAATGTCTTGCCAACCTCTCAGCTCGGTTCCCCCACCACCCACTACCCTCCCTTCCTGCGCAGTACCCATTGGCGGCTCAAACAGCTCAATCCTGGATGCCTGCTGCAACGGCCACATCAACGCCATTGCCACATATTCGGCCCCAGAAACTACCTCATTAACACCCCGAGATTCAAAAACACCTGTGATTGTCAATTCGGAGGACGGCGACGATTGCTTCCAGTACTGCATCACCGACTCGCCAGACATTGTCGAGACCTGTCTTGCAGAGAAGATGCAAGCTTTTGACAAAGAGGGCGCTACCGGCGTTGGCATGTTTGGGTGCTTCAATGTTGAAAAGGCGGTTGGGCCAAGGAAGACCGACGGTGGCAATGAAGGGTCATATGTGAACGCCGGGCTGAAGATTAGTAGGAGTTGGAGCCTATCTCTCCTGGTCGGGTTGAGCGTTGTTGGTGCGCTTATTTGAGAAGCTTCTGTCATCACTACGGGATCGTAGTGAAGAGCGTCTTTTTTCTTTTTCTGCATATCAAATGGTTAGCGTTAGCGATGGCATCGCGTACTGGGTTCTTGCATTCATCGGCGTTGGGACTGAATTACAATGAGTAATGAGACAACTCAAATCAAAGAGCAGTAGCTATCTAGTTTGATACTAGAAGAATGAATCCAACAGATCTGAATCTGAATTCACACGTGCCCTGATGATGTTCTAGTTGCATTGTGAAACCACTTCAGTACCGAACAGCTGACCATGCCTGATTGTGAGTTCACACAGTGATGAGTGAGAGGCTATATTATCGTACGTAGAAAAGATTCCAACCAAAAAACCAAGCCCATCCATCGGGCCTGAACATAGACAGCCATGGCAGACAAACCAATGTATGTACGCTACAGCCACCCAGCAATGAGGCATCCAAGGCCTACGCGTAGACTCCCTACCGTAATGTTTAATTCGTTTGAAGCACAAGGAGAGCAAGGCTCACCCCTTGGTTTATTCTTGCAGTTGCAGGAGGAAATGGATCGTGAGGGTCCATGGGGGCTTCGCCCCGTTTTTTTGCCAACGAGCTATGCGAACAGCAACGCCCCTCTCACAGCTATCAACCAGCAGGGTATCGGAGGTTACCTAAGAAAGAAGGCAATAGTCGCAAATGCGCAAGTTTTCTCTCGCGCTCGTGGACAATCTACATATTTTGCAGAGTTGGCGATGCTTGAAGCGGGGTTGAGTCGGCTGACGCTGGAGGATAACAGGAATTGAGGGCGTCAAACATCATGGTAGATACAGATACAATATTCAGACCTGCTGGATATGTGCTCTTAAATGGAATATAGACTCTGCTTCGCTTTGTAGAAACTGTATCTGAAGGTTGGTGACTGAAAGTGAAATGTGATGGTTCCCCGCAGTAACTAGCGCTTAGTAGCGCAGACCCCTGCCCGCCGATGCAGGAGCGTCATATCTTTTTTCTGGACGCGCGAACAGTCACAACACAACTCAACAACTTTTCACTTATCTCATACACAAAATGGCTTCAGAAAAGAAGGTAGCAGAGAACATGCTCTGGGGTGGCCGTTTCACGGGTACGTACCTGTCAATGACTTGATTTGATTATACGAACTTATTTGGTATGATTGGATGATACTGACATGTGCACAGAGGGCCTTGACCCCGTCATGGAGCAGTACAACGCCTCGCTGCCCTACGACCGTCTCTTCTACGCCGAGGATATTGCTGGCTCAATTGCTTTCGCCCGTGCCAACAAGAACAATGGCATCCTCACCGAAGACGAGTTCGCTGCCATTGAGAAGGGAATGGCACAGATCAAGGAAGAGTGGGCTTCCAACACGTTCGAGGTCAAGGCAAATGACGAGGACATTCATACTGCCAACGAAAGGAGGCTGAGCGAGATTATCGGCAAAGACATTGGCGGAAAGCTGCACACAGGGCGTAGCAGGAACGAGCAAGTCGCAACAGACATGCGGTTATGGCTGCGAGAGCAGCTCAAGGTGCTTGAGGGTTATCTGAAGCTTCTGATAAAGACTTCGGTGCAGCGAGCAGAAGCCGAGATTGACATACTCATGCCTGGCTACACGCATCTCCAGAAAGCCCAGCCAGTGCGCTGGTCTCATTGGATCCTTTCACACGCAACCGCTTTCGCATCCGAACTTGAGCGACTCCGCGAAGTAATCAAGCGCGTCAACAAGTCCCCGCTCGGATGCGGCGCGCTTGCAGGTAACCCGTTCAACATCGATCGTCACGCTATGGCTAAGGAGCTCGGCTTCGAGGGTCTCTTGCCCAACTCGCTGAACGCCGTCGGAGATCGCGACTTCGTCTTCGAGACATTACAATGGGGATCTAGCTTCATGCTGAAAATGTCTCGTTGGGCGGAGGATTTGATCATCTACTCAAGTCTGGAGTTTGGCTTCGTCCGCCTAGCTGACGCATACTCGACTGGAAGCTCATTGATGCCTCAGAAGAAGAACGCAGATTCACTCGAGCTTATCCGCGGCAAGAGCGGTCGTGCATTCGGACACATGGCGGGCCTGTACGTCACCATCAAGGGTCTGCCCACAACCTACAACAAGGATCTCCAAGAATCGGTCGAGCCCCTCATCGACCACATCAAGACGGTCAGCGACTCTATCCAGATTGCTACTGGTGTCCTGTCGACTCTTTTCGTCAATGCCGATAAGATGCACGCAGCGCTGGCGCCTGAGATGCTGGCAACAGAATTCGCAGACTACCTTGTCAGGAAGGGTGTACCATTCCGCGAGGGCCACCACATCTCTGGTCGCGTAGTCGCATTGGCCGAGAAGGAGAACGTACCCATGGACAAGCTGAGCTTGGAGCAACTAAAGGGAATTGACTCCAGGCTCGGTGATGATGTCGTAGAGTGCTTGGACTATGAGCGCGCAGTCGAGCTCAAGAATGCTACTGGTGGCACAAGCAAGAGCGCTGTCATGGAGCAGATAGATATTTTGAAGCAGCTTCTTTGAGCGAGGTAGGTCTGAGCGTATGGAAATTAAGGACTAGAAAAATACCGTAACATCGCTACGTCACCGGCGACGGTATGAGAAATGATAATTGTACGACTGATTGTGCAGTATGACCTTGCGCACGCGTCTACCCCACTTCTGCTGGCCGCGGTTCCGCGAACATGGTGATGTGACCATATTGAAGAAGAATATATCTCTACGCCACAGTTGTTCAACGACAAGGGCTCGCTTTCTCAAATTTGAGTAGATCTTCAGCTATGCAAGCAACCCGTCGAGACTCGCAGAGTGGCGACGTTGTTGTCCCCATAAACTACTTTCCTGCAACAGGTATTCCGATTCCAAAGTCCGCTTGGAAGACGCCATTCTTAGATGACCACAACGAACATACTCGACATATGCTCATACGAGATGCGCGCACGAGCGGCAGAGCCTTTGATCTCGACACCAACGGATTCACATTCGTCACACTACCACCAAAAGACCGAGTCAACCGCGAAAGTACCGAAGAAGAAGTAAAGCGCGAATACTACCCGGAAATAGAAGAAATCGTGAAGAAACTGTAAGTCCTCCGATTTCGCATACTACTAATCTCGAATAAAGTTGAATAAAAGAACTCACCAACTCACCACCGCAACCAACCCCAAACAGAACCGGCGCCACAACCGCCCACGTCTTCAACCACGTAATCCGTGCGCACAACTCCCCCAGCGAAAAAGGCATCCTCGACCCCAAAGGCCGCTGGCAAGATATCCCCTCCGGCCACCCACACGTCGACTACGCTGGCAGCCCCTCCGCCCTCGCCGGCACCCAACTCGAACTCTCCCTCCCACCCCACATCTCCACCCTCTTCACTTCCTCCCGCCGCTTCGCTTTCCTCGGCGCCTGGCGTCCCCTAAAACCCGTCCGCAGAGATCCCCTCGCCGTATGCGACGCCACTAGCGTCCCAGACTCCGATTACCAGATCCGACAGAGGGAGTTTAGTCGTACGGGGATCAAGAGCGAGAACTATGTGATGAGTCATGGGGAGAAAGAGAGGCAGTTGCACCAGTGGTGGTATTTGAGTCGTATGATGCCGGATGAGATGGTGGTGTTTAAGGGGTTCGATACGGAGAGGGGGAAGCCGGGGTGGAGGTGTCCACATACGGCGTTTAGGGTGCCGGGGACTGAAGGGGAGGAGGCGAGGGAGAGTATTGAGGTTAGGGTTGTGGTGTTTTGGGAGTAGAATGGGTAGATGTATGGGAATCTGATTGGGCTTCTATGATGTTAGGCATGATGAGACATTCGTCAAGTGTTTGTCAGTTCTGAAGTGGTGTTGACTTATTGTTCATTCAACGATGTTGTTATCCAGTGCAAGATAGTAGCATTGATCATGTGACCCTTACTTTCAGTAATGAAATACTTTATGCCTCATACATAATACCATATCTATATCTAGAGCCTCACTTTCGTACACTTGCATACTATTTTCTGGATTTCAATGCATTTTTACTATGCATGCTGTGATTGCAGCTTTATCTGCATTCTACGGCCAGTCCCCAGAGGGTTTCGTGCCCGAGAATATATGATCTAATTAGCTCCAAGAATCTCTACGCCCATTAGTCATGACAGAATCTTATGAATCTGCATTTTTAGAGAGAGTACGGACACGTGACAAAGACCAGAATTCCCTCTAGCCCAGTTAACCCAAGCAACCAAAACACAAGCCATAAAATCATCCACAAAACTAACCAAAAGTTAGCCGTCTGCAGGAGCAACCGAAGTTATCCATAGCCACGGTAGGTTTTTAGAGTAAGAAAAAGAAGTCTTCACGTGACTGGCACCACAATCTCCAGGAAACCAGCCGAACCACAAGCCAGAAAACAAGTCTCGAAATCAGCGAGAAAATAAGCTAAAAATCAGTGCCCTGCAGAAGTCGCAGGCTCGCCTTATTTCAGACATATATAACATGAGGATTACGTGCGGGAGGACATGCGGGAGACTGTGCAAGTGTGCACCCCGGTGGACTCCGGTGGACCCCATTTAGGAAAATGCTCTCGACCGACTTGTGCGCCACCACATTGAATGAACTCTCACAAACATTTGTGAGCTAACCAATGACGAACGCCAGTTTTTTGGCCCCCAGACAAATTCCGCACACAATTGGCTCGCTTACTGGGCGGTGTTGAAATTTTGCCTATCCGCTGAGGCTGTGCCAGAACTCCACTGTGGCCAAAAAGGGCACACAGGGCTCATCTGGGGGCCGTTCACCGGTTTTTGAACCGGTCGGGCTGAAAAATTGCGGCGATGCAAGCACAGGAGAACTGAGATGGTGAGGCGTTCTGGCGCTAGTCTCATTTTTATCTAGTCGCCCAAAGACAATGAGAGAAGGACTGGATGATTTTAATACTCATGTTGGGTCTCCTAGTGCGAATGTTCTATGTGGCTATCGTCATTGGGAAAAGTTTCCTACCGCCTTGAAATTCAAATGGGCTCAAGCGACTTCGACTTATACCTTGAGAACAGGGGATGCGAGGCCGACGCACTTATCCTAAGAAATCGAAGGGCAGATCAAACTCTAGGCCATGCGTTAGTACTTCACTGAGAAAAGAGTTTCATAACGTACCATAATCTCACCGATTCGCTTTTCGCTATGGTCATCTTTAGAAAGACCAAATCCTCCGCGCGCAAGTTGGAGTTTACGCAATTGGCGAGATCGGACAGCCTAATAAACGTCAGCTGCTATCGTCTACAAGACCCCTAGTTATACAATACCTCTTCAACACTTCCTTTCATAATGTATCGGAAAATCTTGACGGCCTTCTCTTGTCCGAGTCGTATAATGCGCCCAATTGCCTGATTCTCGACTGAAGGATTCCACTGGGGCTCAATGATATGTACGATATTGGCAGCCTTCATCTTATTCAAGCTAGATCGGCATTAGTCATATACAGGCGTGGCAGCGATCAAGGCATACCCAACTGCTCCAGTTCCTAGTGTTATCAACAACACTCGAATGGTTGTGGACTGCTCAAAGTCGTCCAGAATCTTACTCCTCCTGCTACCTGGTATGCTGCCATGTATGCGATAATACGGGACTGAGGCGACGTCGAATATACCAGCCATGATGTCGAGGGTCGTCTTCCAGGCAGAGAATATGATGCTAAGTATCGCGTGAGTTTGCGCCAAAAGAATGCGATACTCCAGTGGCAATGGCTGCGAAGACGTACCATTTATCATTTGGGGCTTGTTGCTGAACACTGTCAAGAACCGCACGCAACTTTGTAGGCCACACTGTGTTCCGTAAATCTGTAGAATTTTCCAAGTCCGAGGAAGGTACAACAACAAATGACAACCTCTCTGCTCTTAAACCGCAGACCGGGCAGCAGCTACGCCCATCTTCAGAGTTTTTATCAAGGTCTGCCTCAAAATCTGGAAGACATTCACCACATATGAGATGATCACAAACTGTCAGTACACCTGAGCTTTTGTCGTCGCCTTGATACATTGCCGTAATTTCGCAGCCACATTGGATGCACACAGCATCTGAGGAAGTCTGCAAGAGACTCAGAGCTTCTTCCGGTGATGTTGGAAGGCCGAATGCTGAACTTCTTTTCGCAAGAGACCTTTCTCCGTCATTACAGAACAGTCTTAGACCCAAGATAGCCTGGATGACTTGCTGATTGGCTTTTTTGAAACTATGCCCTGAAACAGCCAAGTCGATGTAGTGTTTGCAACGCGCTGCATAATCTTCATATTGCGTCTGTTCTTCAGTAGAAAACTGGAGAAGTTTTGTTTCTACGACCGGTTCAGGTTGTTTCAGGATTAATCTGGTACGGCGCAAACATATGGCTTCCAAAAGTCTGCTAAGGTTACCAAAACGGTTGTTAGCCTTTGATAGGATTGGTGTGCTGATATGTTTGCGAAACGATGTCGGTTCATCAAGCACCGGGATTTGTAAGAACTTTACGAGCGCACCAAGGTCTTCCAAAGAGTTTTGAATCGGGGTGCCTGTTAAACACCAGCGGATGTGTGCAGGTATGGTTTGGATGGCACGAAACTGTTTCCGTAAAGGGTTGCGGATGTAGTGAGCTAGGTATGTAAGCATTTTCTGCAAGCTACAAATTGACGAGGCGGGGTTACCTTCATCCAAAACTAGACGGTACCACGCAATGCGGTTCAGTGTACTGTTTCCACGACAAAAGTCTGCAGCCACGGTCGCGTATGTCGTGAGAACTATATCCATATGAAGTAGGTAGGCAAAATCGACACGTTTTCCCACGCCATGGAAGCGATGAACCATTAGAGTTCCAGGCTCAATGTGTCTGATGAATTTTAGACAGATCACTGCAGCATAATTCTAGACTTACTTGGCAATCTCTTCCTCCCAGCTCTCTAACAACACTAGCCAGATCAGATCAGAATGGATGTAATGTTTGTAAGGCACTCACATGAAGAAGGGACGATGATGAGGGTGGTCTTGCAAGGGACAATATCTTTCCAAGAGTTTGTTGAGCCTCTTGTACGCCCTGCGGCGTAATCGAGCGCTCGTTTCAGAGACTCTACAATGACAGCTAATGTCGTTAGTGTCTTTCCGAGTCCCATCTCATCAGCAAATATGCCTCCCAGGGCATCCTCCATCTCGCTACTTTTTGCGCCAGTGATGACGTGTTTGTAACTGAATTGTCAGTCGAAAGTTCGTGACCTTGGTATACGGACATACCAGAATGGACCCCCAGGAAGAGAGTGGGGTTTCCAAAGACTGAGTGAAGGAGCCAAGTCTCCGTTTTCTCTTTTGGTAAAAAAATCAACAGCTTCTAGCTGATAACTTCCCAAGATTAGTGGATAGTCTTCTTTAGCGATAACAAGAACGTACTTTTTAAGCTCTGTCCGTATTTGCCAACTTATAGACGCTTTTTCCAGACCCTTTGACTGTGGAATGTTATCCAATACTGATTCCAGCTCGGAGTATGTGCTTTCTTTCGAATCGACTGAAAGTGGGGCCACAAAGTTCGTGCTTGGTTGTTCCATAACGTGCAACTCTGAGATATTGGGCAATTTAAGATATTGGGGATTGTCATATGTAACCAGCCGCGTGACGAAGCTTGGAGGTTGCAGAAACAGCCTTGCATTGCTGAGGATTCTGCCAGCGGGTTTAGCAACCCCGGAAGTATTGGGACCGTAGATGTTCACATCTACAAGTAAGTTTGCAGCGCGTCCTGATTTTTTCCATTCGGCTCTAGCCTTCTCTAAGCTGGCCCGTAGCACAACACCTTCAACCTCGACATTTGAAAGGGATTTTAGCCGTTTCAGGGCTTGCGAAACCTTCTGATTTAAGCACCCGAAGCTATTGGCGTCGTGGAGATTCATCCATAGGTAGCTACCGACAAATGTAGCTTCAAGTTCGACAAAATCGGTTCTTGAATCCTGAGATGAGTACTCCCTGTATGTATGTGGGTCTTCTCTGACTTGAAGATTCAGTTCAAGTAGCTAAGAATATCAGTGGATCGTCCTATGATAATCAGTTTTGGCCATAGTCGTTACCGAGCCGTAACAAATCTCCTTCAGACTGCTGAGATCCTCGGGCTGATGTGACGAGCTTGTGTCTGAGACTTGTGGAACATTGCGCAACCTTTCCTCGTCGAGGCTACTACCCGCTCTACTAGAACTGGCATCCAGTGCGGACGGATGGCCATCTTCAGCAATTATTAGTGCAAATCATCTTGAATGATTGCATATACTTACATGATATAATTGAAGTGAACCCTTCGCGCCGCTTCGATGTTTCTGAAGTGCGGGTAGGAGATAGTGATCTCTTCATCGTTTTCTGGCCAATGTGCTGGAGCCGTCTTTGGTCGCGTCCGCAATTTGGACCGGAGCTTCAGTGCTGATGGTTTTTAGGGACGCATTGAGTCGCCGGAATCCTCTTCATACCCAACAGCCCTTATTTAGTCACTCTTAGTCGTTGGCCAATATGCGTTCATGATGGATCAGGCTACACAAGGCAGACAATGTGGGTGCCATTGGCGAGCAAGGCGCAGCCTTGGGGGCGAAAGTCGAGATGCGCATTCTGCGCACAGACCGGCCGTCACATCCAGCCTGCCCCTTCCTGCCTGCCCCTTCCTCTTCCACCATGTCCTCTCCACCACAACACTTTGATTTCCATTTTCCTTGAAGACGGCATGCCAAGCAAAGACACACGCAATAATCTACGGCTATGCATTCCGCGACTTTCCACCTTGTGCTGGAAAAGTTCAAGTCTGGCTTGGGTGAGAAAGAGAAGCGACAATTCGCAACAACCACGCTGGATGACGTCCATGTTGCTATAGAGAAGATTCAGCGCAAGCAGCAATCCGAAAAGAGGCTGCGCGCCATGACTAAGCTAGAGTTATTCTTGGAGGGTATGAAGGAATACGAAAAAGTTGTGTCGGTCTTTCTCAACACAAGTGCCATTCTGGCGTTCGTTTGGGTACGAATCGCCAACCACAAAACCATTCACTTCTCAGGCTGAACTCAGAGTACTTAGGGTCCAATGAAATTTCTGTTACAGGTACAAATTCTCTCCAGTGTTTTGACTTATATCGCATGAATATCATTCTTCTCCAGTACGGCTTCAGTACCTTCTGGTCATCGTATACAAAACACGACATTGATTGAAACCGGCAGAGCTGAGAATTCTAACTTTTATCAAGATAGCCAGTACGTTCCATGAGGCTTTTGATGCCTTGCTGGATGCCTATCAACGCATTGGCGAACATATGCCTTTACTAGCCCAGTATGAAGGTTATTTCCGCAACCATCCACAAATGACTCGAGTGCTACGACTAATGTACGAGGACATACTTAAATTTCATTTCAAAGCAATGAAGTATTTCCAGAAGCGCAGTATGCATTTCAAAGTTTTCCTTCTTATCAGTATGGAAATGAGGTTGATAAAACGTAGTGTGGCAGCAACTATTCCAAGCGCTCTGGAAAAGTTTCGACACCGAGTTCGCCGCTATACTCAGGGATTTACGCGAACACATGGCATTGATCGAATCACAGGCAACTGTGGCTCAGTTCTCTGAGATGCTTGCAACGCGGACACTTATCGAATTACAATTCGATCGTGAGAGAGAGAATGAAGTGCGCAAGCGTCGCATTATTGTTCACCAATGGCTCACTGCAGCCAACTGTGGTGCTGATCAAGAGGCTTACGCCAAAGTCCGTCGAAATCATGCAGGAACGGGACGTTGGCTTCTACAGGAGAACCGCTTTCGTTCCTGGTTCGATCCATTGCTCTGCTCAACAAATATGCTATGGATGAATGGCATTCCTGGAGCAGGTAAGCTCGTGCCGAGACTGACCGGAATCTCTGCTCATTAAGAAAATAGGAAAAACTGTTCTAGCCTCTTTAGTTGTTGAGGAGGCTGTGAAGCAACCAGATGCTCACGTCGCGTTCTTCTACTGTCGTTATCTGGATAGTGAACGCAATACGTTTCTTGCGGTTGCTCGCGGTATCCTATCTCAACTACTATCTCAAGATGACGCTCTGTTGGCTTATATCTACGAGAAAGCATCCACAAGTGGGCAGGTGACACTTTCGCTTGAAGCAACCGCACGGGAACTGCTTGAAACATCATTGAAAGCCTTTGAGAAGCTATACATTGTTATAGACGGAATCGATGAGTGTGAGGGCGATCAACGCCAACAAATTGTGTCGTTCTTCCAGGATGCATGCGATTCACTGCCCCCTGCCGATATGGATTCGTTGCGGTGCATGTTTGTCAGCCAAGACGACAATATCGCAAGGAAACACTTTGCCAGTATCCCGTCATTAAAGATCACAGAGAATCATACAAAAAAAGATATTGTTGAGTTTGTAGCGGGAAGAAGTATCGACATAAAGCAGAAGTTCGACCTAACTACAGACCGACAACAATGGGTGCAGGATCAGGTAATGAAGAGCACTGACGGTGAGTGCAACCCTCATACATTGGTCACCCTTGTTTAACCTAATCGGTACAGGTATGTTCCTGTTCGCACATCTTATGACTTCTTATCTCATCGATCAAAGCTCACGAGCAGAGCTCGACAAGGAGCTTTTGCCGGAGAACTTTCCCCAAGGCGGTACTAGACTTGAACAAATGTACACATAATGTGGGACGACGTATAGAATACTACTGACATGAACAGATACTCCCGCATCGTACAACGGCTTACTTCCAACCGAGGATCTTTGAGCGCGAAAACTAGCCAGTTATTGACCTGGCTTGTATGTGCAAAGCGACCTCTCATGTGGCGAGAGATTCAATGTGCAATGTCAATAAATTTGGAAGACCAGACTTTGGACTGGGAGCGTGACCGGCTCCGTGTGGATTCAAAAGACTTGTGTGGGTCGTTGGTCAGTATTCATGCTGACGGCACCATTGTCATTGTCCATCATTCCGCCAAGAAGTGAGTCCTTTTATCGAATCCTTGCACATGGACTACCTCCAGCGAACTAGTTTCTCTTTTCACTTCGAGTTTACTAAATGTTCCAGGTATCTACTTGATAAAAATCTCGTCAACCTCGGATCTGGCGAGGGCAACCTAGCTCTTCTATGCATGTCGTACCTTTGTTTTGAAGGATTTGACGTTGAGGATAGTAATCTCAGCGTGTCTGATTACATCCCATCGGGATACTATGGATTCATGGACTATGCGTATGCATACTGGGCTCGCCACCTGGATGCATTCTTGCGTGTACAGGAATCAAAAGACGCACTGAACGAGATATCCGAAGCGGCGGAAGTTTTCATCGATATGTACTGGGCGCAGCCCCGGACCAAGTCAGTACCTCCGAAATCATTCTTATCACGATGGGAGTCACTTTCGAGCAATCGAAATTTCGACAAGCTCACTGTTGCTGCTCATCTCGCACAAAAACAGCTCATTGCCTCTACCGCTCACTCTCCGGATCTCCACGTGCTCAAGCTCCACCACGCATTGAATAAAGTGCGTGAGCACCTGGAGTTGGAAAGAGCTTCAGCGAGTGGGGCGACGAGACTGCAGGAAATGTACGGCGAGAATATTTTCAAATGTGCGAGGGTCAACTGTGTACGATTTTACAACGGCTTCGCGTCAAAACAAGAACGGGTCGACCACATCATGAAGCACGAACGGTCCTTTTTCTGCTCTTTTCCAGGCTGCGCAATGGCCACGTTAGGTTGTAGCACGCTGAAGGAGCTCCACAAGCACGAGACGGAATACCACGGGACGTTTGATCACGATGAAGAAGAAGAAGCAGAATATCCCGAGTCGCTACCGCAGAAGGTATCCTTTGACTGCAAGGAGTGCGATGCCAAATTCACTCGCAAACAAAACCTCCAGATTCACATGCGGAGTCGACATGCGGAGAGCGGGAGTAAGCCAGCAGCCTATGTTTGCGAGACGTGTAGCAAGAGCTTTGCGAGGAAGGGCGATCGCACTCGGCACGTGACGACTACACACAACGATGCAAAGTCGTTTGTGTGTGAGGGCAAGCTCAAGGATGGGTCTGGTTGGGGATGTGGACGTGTTTTCAAGCGCGGTGATATGTTGAATAGGCATTGGAAAAGTAGAAAGGGCGAGGAGTGTATCGTACAGAAACAAAACGAGGAAGATGTTGACAATGTGAGCTCGGGTGTCTCGTTGCAGCCTTCGAGTGCGTCGACGCCTCAGACCTAGATGGGTATGGGGTGGCGTGTTTACATATATAGGCTCGAGGCATAACCTTGGTACGAAGGATTTCGCAATTGACGCGTTAGATTATATGTTCAAAAACAACGTCTCAAATTGGATAGTTTTGACTGTGTGAACAGCACAGATATTGCTCGAACACGAGGCAAATGCCGCTCTATTATCAATGCTGTTTTGTTGCCTTCTCCTTCACCCTCTTCTTCTCTTCAATTAATGCATCCAGTCGCCAGAACGAAGTGATTCCCTCTACAAAGCAGGTGCCCACCCATTTCCACCAAACGCCATCCAAAAAGGTACATCCATGTTTTGCCAGTCTCATCACCATGATGACAACCTCGATTGAATGAATCGGAAGCATCATCATAAAGATTAACCAGCCATACCGCGCTGCAAAGTTCGCAAACGACGGCACCATGAATAGAGCGTAATCGTAAATGGGCGAGCCGGGTTGCCAGTTCGCCGCACGAGGCAACAAAAGAAAGGCCAGCAGACACTGTGTAAAGTTCCACAGATGAGCCGGCCGCGTGTATGCAGGGACAAATTGTGTGATGGAGATGTCGCTCCGGCCCAGGGTTTCCAAAGCGTCCTTGTCCATCTTGACCATCCGCTCGCGAGCCTCACGCAGGGTCGTCATGGGCGGATCCAGCCCAATAACGGCTTGCTGGCTACCACAGCTGAATACCATCTTGTCCAAGTCGATATCGATCATTTTTGCGCTGCGGCTCTGGAACATGGATCGTGAAGCATAAGCTTCGACGTATCGGCGGATCTGCGGTCGTAATCAGGAACTGGAGGGCACTCGACAAGAGACCTAGGGACGGCACGTACAGAGTCGTGGTGGTCGGCATTCATGTGCTTGATGATGCGCTGCCTGGTGGCCTCATCCGTAGCTTCCTTGGTCGCCATTATGGGGGAATTAGCGGCCGGGGCTATGGGCTAGAGTTGCAATTGCTCTATCGTGGGTGTTCGGCGGGCGGAGATGTGATCGTAGATTGCCCATCTCTGGCCTGCAGTGATCCGGCGCTCTTCGGCCCGGTCATCGCGCGGAAAGGTCGTGCCGCGCCCCGCGATTGGTAGCGACGAACCAGACAACGTTCTCGCTACCACAAAACCGCCGTCTACCGAATTCCCAAAGTGCTTCCGCATATTTGCGTTCTACAGCTCTGTTTTCTTCAGTATGAGAAAATGGTGTATGCTCTGTGTAATCTTTACCGCTTATGCTACGCGGAGCGGCAAAATCCGCATCCGGTCAGCCGATGAGAAAGGCTGCCGATCGAATTCGGACTGACGCGTTGCCATTGACATCAGGTCCAAGGAGTATGCGGCACAGTTGGCGGGGAAAAAAGTTGGAACATACGCAATAGACAGGACACCCCGGTCGACACATTCTAGGCCCCAAGACGATGGTCGCAACGTTTGTGCAGCTGTCAGCTAGGACGATGCACGCAGGGATGGCGTCAAGTTTTTGGACGTGTTGGAACTCGCCTGGCAGTGGGGTGAAGTGTAGGCGCCACATGGTGCGTCAGACTGCATGCAAAGGTGGGCCAGGTGCGGCAGGGGTAGCAAGTACCTGGGAGCCTTCAAACCGGTTCCAGTTGCTCATGCCGCCTTTCTCTTATTAACGAATTGCTCCGTGGTCTTGGGTCGTGAATTGCTATTTTTCCAAGAGTTCTGTTCAGCGCGTCACTTTTATTTTTGTAGCGCAAATACATAACATACAACCAGCAAATCCCTACCAAGGCCTCAAGTACACTTTTTTTTCTGAAAACCAAAGTACCACACCATGGCGGACACAGTCGAGGAGAGCAAGCAATCCATTTCTGGAGAGGGACAGGCTGATGCCAATGCTTCTGTAGGAGCAAAGGGCAGTGCGGAATCATCGAGTAAGAAAACCGAAAGGAAGACGCCGAAGAAGCTGGGCGGAAAGAAGCCTCAACAGCAGCCCACTCCTGACGCCACTCCTGCCCCTGATAGCGATGGCGAAGGGAACGCTGAGCAAGAGGACGCAGAATCAAAGAAGCAAACCAACGGCGGCGACGCCGACGACTCGGACGAACCCCAACAAGAAAAGTCAAAGTCGCAATCGAGGCGCCGCCAGTCCCGAGGCCGCGGACGACGAGGCGTGGAATCTGGCGCCGAGTCTGATGCCCGATCAGACGTCTCGCAATCCGGAGGCCGTCGCAACCGCCAGCGCCAGAAGAAGGGCGGAAAGGGAGGCGGCCCGCTGGACGACATTACCGAGAACGTGCCCGGAGGCGAGCTCGTTGGCGGAGCTGGCGACATGGTCCAAAACACTGCTGGAAAAGCCGTTGGCTCCGTTGGCGACACAGCCGGCAAAGCTCTCGGTGGCCTGACTGGCGGCGGTAAAGACGATGACGGCGGCAAAGACGGCGGTGAGCAGCTTCGATTGCGCCTAGAACTCAATCTCGACATTGAGATTCAGCTCAAGGCCAAGATCCACGGTGATCTTACCCTTGGATTGCTGTAAGTGATTTTGTGTTTTCTGACGATGTTATCTTATGCTAACGATGAACTATAGTAACTAAAAGATCTTGGGCACGACGACAAAGACTTAATGCACGGCATGTTATTGACCTGTTAGTAATTGGAAACCATTTGGAAGGCGTTTATATGAGCTGGGAGTTTTGCATACACAGTGCTCTCCCCCCTTTGTTAACCTACTCGCACAGTGTATGCGAGTAGTGGCCTACATAGGAATTGCAAATTACATGTATATTCACACGTATTTTGGCTAGCTTAGTTAACTGGAGAGTTTTGTTTGCAGCGGTATACCAAAGTTGTAAGTGCCCGCATAGTTAGGTAGAGAGACAGACAGAGACCGGGACAGAGACATAGCTATTGCAATGTATTTTTTTTCCATATCAACTCACAAATCTCGCGTGATGCCTCGTCACCATGTGTCTCGCTACACTTGTAATCGTGAGACAGTGACAAGGAAGGAATTGTACGACTTGACTGCACCGTGACGTCATAGCTGTAACCCATACCAAGACGCGACCCCCCAAAAGCAAATCCAAGCAAGAACGCGCGGAACATGGCAAAATGATGAACACTTATTGCATCATCTCCTCCGAAAGGACAAACCCTTCCCAAAGGAAAAATCCGTGCATGTGCATGTTCGACCAAGTGCAAGTGCAAGGGCAAGGGCAAGGGGATGAAAGGCATGAGTTTCCACCAGTCTACCGTTCTAGATCTACAAAAAAATCCAAACAAAGAAAGAGCAACCGAAGTCCCCCCCCCCTAGCACTACTAACCCCCGTATGTACGTTTGCGCGTCGTCCGACTAGGGGATTCCAGTATGAACCGGGGAGGGCGAACGCAAAAAAAAACGAGAACAAAGCAAAGGCAGAACGAAGTGCGCATTCCCATTTATCGCCTTCTTCTTTTTTTCCAGCATAAAAACGGTATTATCTGCGGGAATAATGGCGGTGGGAAGGCCTGAATTATTATTCCTATTACTAGAAAAGAAAAGGGAGAGTGGGCGGGCTGGGTGTCAGGATTGTGGGTACCGAGGCGTCCCCCCCCAACTTGATCCCGATCGTTTTTTTTACATTGACGTCAGCCGTTGCGGGTTGTGGGGAAAGCCAGAACGAGCAAGGGTGTAAGCTTGTTGGTTTTGCGTGCGGGCTAGAGGCGGGTAATCGAATGAATCTTGTTTTTTTGAGGGGGGTGGGTGTGCGAAAGCAAGCTTGCTGGTAGGAAGGGGTGGTGCCAGGGCAGGGACTTGCTGTTGGTTGTGTGGATTGCGCAGATGCATGCAACATGGGGTGGGGTGGGTTTTAGGCTGGCCTGGCTGAGCTGGGCCGGTTGTTGTATGCTCTTGCTCTTGCTCTCTCTCCTTCTACTCTACTCTACTCTACTACCTGGGAACCTTTTTTCTTTGGTCTTGACTTTGACTTCCTAATTCCCTGACACCCCACCTACCTCCGCCAATTCCCCTTCCCTTCCCTAAGGATCTGATTTCTTCGTTTCCTCCTTTGACGGGATACTCGTACGCAACCACCACCCAAACCCCACACACCATCATTGCATGATCGCGCGCCTCCCGCCCGACATGGCCGACAAGAACCAAGATGACTACTCGGACTCCGAGCCACATGAGCGCTCGACCATGGCCCAGCAAAAAGCCATTAACAAAAAGAAGCAAGAGCGACGCGAAGCCGGCCTCCAATCCGCCCGCTCGCGCTCCTCCTCGCGCCGTGCCCGCCGTGCCCGCCTCGAGGAAGACAAGAAGAACGGAAAGTACATGCACACGACGCCCCTTGAGGTGCTCGAGGAGGCCGATGCAAACGGCGACTTGCAGAAGATGGGCATGTTTGAGCGTATCGGACCCGACAGCACCTCCATGGATGGCCCCGTCACCTATGCGCGTGCGATGCGTGGTGAGATTCCTATGCGTGGCACGAATCCCAATGAGCCGTTCCGCATGGAGCCGGAGAAGGGCGGGAGTGAGTTGAAGGACCAGGATGGGTTGAAGTTGACGCTTGAGGCGAATCTGGAGATTGAGATTGAGCTCAAGGCGAGTATTCGAGGGGATTTGACCTTGAGTTTGTAGTAAGTTCCTTCCCCGATTTCCTTGCCCTGCCCTTTCTTCCCTTTCCATCCCTTTTAAACATCTCGTTTTTTTTCGTCCTGCACTTTTCTTGTTATATACCCCTTCTTGCATTGCTCCTGCTTTTCGCTTCTCGTTCCTCCTCTTTTTTTTGTTCGCTTACATGGAGAGCCAATATACATACCATGTATACGGACTTGCACGAGAGAGCAACAAAAAAGAAGAGAGAAAAAGATGGGAAGCGTCTTTCTCACCACACACACACGTCACAAAGCATTTGGGCAAAGACAAGATGCTAATTGGCCTCTTTCAACAGCCAATAACATAATTGCCTCTTTTTGTGTTTCCCCGCTTGCGGAGTTGTGTCGAGAAACGTCTGTTGCCTCTTTCTTGTTCTCTCTTCTCGTGCAATTTT